TCTATGGGTTTCAGTGTGATGAGTCTATGGGTCCCTGTGTGATGAGTCTATGGGTTTCAGTATAATGATTCTATGGGTCTCTGTGTGATGAGTCTATGGGTTTCAGTGTGATGAATCTATGGGTTTCAGTGTGATGAGTCTATGGGTCTCTGTGTGATGAGTCTATGGGTCTATATGTGACAAGTCTATGGGTCTCTGTGTGATGAGTCTATGGGTCTCAGTATAATGAGTCTATGGGTCTCTGTGTGATGAGTCTGTGGGTCTCTGTGTGATGAGTCTATGGGTCTCTGTGTGATGAGTCTATGGGTCTCTGTGTGATGAGTCTGTGGGTCTATGTGTGACGAGTCTATGGGTCTCAGTATAATGAGTCTATGGGTCTCTGTGTGATGAGTCTATGGGTCTCTGTGTGATGAGCCTATGGGTCTATGTGTGACGAGTCTATGGGTCTATGTGTGACGAGTCTATGGGTTTATGTGTGACGAGTCTATGGGTCTCTGTGTGATGAGTCTATGGGTTCCAGTGGCTTCCTAATATCGGAATGGGAGAGCGTTCCAGACGGCCGCAGAAGAGCATCTTGAAAGCGCCGGACCGGTTCTGGCGCTTTACCCGCAGGAAAAAAATCATCGTCTTATTTTTTTTCCAGAGCGTCTTGCGACGATGACGACGACGACGACGACGATGATAATAAAACAATCTCAACTTGTCTACCTGAAGAGGCTGGTTGTGGTTGCCGCTGTTAGCGTCGTAACTGCGGGCGAAACGTCACGGCTACTCGAAATGTAAACGTCTCTGCGGGTTTAACTCTCCAACACAGAACAACCGGTTGGTGCTCAACTAGCAACTAATTGGCCGTGTCGGGTGGTGGCAGGTTTAACGATGCAACATTTACATATTTGCGTGATCTAACCCAAAACCAAAAAAACAATTACGGACAAAATTGATCATGAAAGCCTCCTACTACTACGTGTTAAACATATTCTTAGCTCTTTCGGTAAAGCCGCGTTGAAGGGAAACGGTAAAATAATAAAATATATATTTATTACTGCAGTCACGAAAGCTTTAAATTTAAAACGTGTTAAACATGTTGCAATTAAACACAGAGACCCGTAGACTCGCACATATCCACAAGGCTCGCACAGAGACCCAACGTCTCGCGGACAGACTCAAAGACTCGCACAGAGACTCATAGATTCACACATATCCCACAAGATTCACACAGAGACCCACAGACTCGCACGGAGACCCAACGTCTCACACAGAGGCTCATTAGACGCACACGGAAACTCATACGGCCATCCCACACAGACAGAACTAGTGAAGTCCACAACTGACGTGCCACCTTCTCCTGGCAGTGCCAGGGGGGTACAGCTCCTCATTGCCACCCACCCATGGGTAGAAAGGAGTCAGATTGAACAAATGGAGATTAGTCCACACACTCTGCTGCTGTGCCACCTTCTCCTGGCAGTGCCAGGGGGGTACAGCTCCTCATTGCCACCCACCCATGGGTAGAAAGGAGTCAGATGGAACAGATGGAGATTAGTCCACACACTCTGCTGCTGTGCTACCTTCTCCTGGCAGAGCCAGGGGGTACAGCTTCTCCTTGACACCCACCCATGGGTAGAAAGGAGTCAGATTGAACAAATGGAGATTAGTCCACACACCCTGCTGCTGTACCACCTCCTGGCAGAGCCAAGGGGTACAGCTCCTCCTTGACACCCACCCACGGGTAGAACGGGAGTGAGATGGAACAGATGGAGATTAGCCCACACACTGTGCAGTACCGCCCTCTACCTGGCAGAGCCAGGGGTACGGGCGCCTCCATGACACCCACCCACGGGTAGAACGGGAGTGAGATGGAACAGATGGAGATTAGTCCACTCTGCTGTAGGAAGGAGTGAGATGGAACAGATGGAGATTAGTCCACACACTCTGCTGTAGGAGGGAGTGAGATGGAACAGATGGAGATTAGTCCACACACTCTGCTGTAGGAGGGAGTGAGATGGAACAGATGGAGATTAGTCCACCCACTCTGCAATACCGCCCTCTACCTGGCAGAGCCAGGGGTACGGGCGCCTCCATGACACCCACCCACGGGTAGAACGGGAGTGAGATGGAACAGATGGAGATTAGTCCACACACTCTGCTGCAGGAGGAGTGAGATGGAACAGATGGAGATTAGTCCACTCTGCTGTAGAACGGGAGTGAGATCGAACAGATGGAGATTAGTCCACTCTGCTGTAGAACGGGAGTGAGATGGAACAGATGGAGATTAGTCCACTCTGCTGTAGGAAGGAGTGAGATGGAACAGATGGAGATTAGTCCACTCTGCTGTAGAACGGGAGTAAGATGGAACCGATGGAGATTAGTCCACACACCCTGCAGTACCGCCCTCTACCAGGCAGAGCCAGGGGTACGGGCGCCTCCTTGGCGCCCACAGAAAGTTTTTTGCCCCGTCCGTGCGGTTATCCACCAACCCTGGCTGCCTCAACAGCGCTGGGAATTCTAGGCAGCCGTGTGCATCGTGGCCATCACGGGCGCATTTATAACCCCGAGAATACGGCGATGCGGTACTCCCTCGTCAATCACGAACTCGGCTATCCGCCAATCGCATTCCGGAACTCTATACGACTACTGCATCGAGAGAGCGAGAGATGGCAAAGTGATGAGAGATGAAGGGATGAGAGATAAAGTGATGAGAGATGAAGTGATGATGAGAGATAATGTGATGAGGCATAAAGTGATGAGAGATTAAGGGATGACAGATAAAGTGATGATAGATGAAGTGATGATGAGAGATAATGTGATGAGAGATAATGTGATGATGGGAGATGAAGTGATGAGAGATAAAGTGATGAGAGATGAAGTGATGATGAGAGATGAAGTGATGATGAGAGATAATGTGATGAGGCATAAAGTGATGATGAGAGATGAAGTGATGATGAAAGATGTGATGAAAGATAATGTGATGAGAGATAAAGTGATGAGAGATAAAGTGATGAGAGATGAAGTGATCAGAGATAAAGTGATGGGAGATGAAGTGATGATGAGAGATGAAGTGATGATGAGAGATGAAGGGATGAGAGATAAAGTGATGAGAGATGAAGTGATGATAGATAAAGTGATGATAGATGAAGTGATGATGAGAGATAATGTGATGAGAGATAATGTGATGATGGGAGATGAAGTGATGAGAGATAAAGTGATGAGAGATGAAGTGATGATAGATAAAGTGATGATGAGAGATAATGTGATGAGAGATAAAGTGATGATGAGAGATGAAGTGATGATGAGAGATAAAGTGATGAGAGATGAAGTGATGATGAGAGATAATGTGATGAGAGATAATGTGATGAGAGATAATGTGATGAGAGATTAAGTGATGAGAGATGAAGTGATGAGAGATGAAGTGATGATGAGAGATAATGTGATGAGAGATAAAGTGATGATGAGAGATGAAGTGATGATGAGAGATAATGTGATGAGAGATAATGTGATGAGAGATGAAGTGATGAGAGATGAAGTGATGATGAGAGATAATGTGATGAGAGATAAAGTGATGATGAGAGATGAAGTGATGATGAGAGATAATGTGATGAGAGATAATGTGATGAGAGATGAAGTGATGAGAGATGAAGTGATGAGAGATGAAGTGATGATGAGAGATAATGTGATGAGAGATAAAGTGATGATGAGAGATGAAGTGATGATGAGAGATAATGTGATGAGAGATAATGTGATGAGAGATAATGTGATGATGGGAGATGAAGTGATGATGAAAGAAAAACTGATGAGAGATAAAGTGATGAGAGATGAAGTGATGATGAGAGATGAAGTGATGATGAGAGATGAAGTGATGATGAGAGATAAAGTGATGATGAGAGATAATGTGATGAGAGATAAAGTGATGAGAGATGAAGTGATGAGAGATGAAGTGATGATGAGAGATAATGTGATGAGAGATAAAGTGATGATGAGAGATGAAGTGATGATGAGAGATAATGTGATGAGAGATGAAGTGATGAGAGATGAAGTGATGAGAGATGAAGTGATGAGAGATGAAGTGATGATGAGAGATAACGTGATGAGAGATAAAGTGATGATGAGAGATGAAGTGATGATGAGAGATAATGTGATGAGAGATAAAGTGATGATGAGAGATAATGTGATGAGAGATAAAGTGATGAGAGATTAAGTGATGATGGGAGATAAAGTGATGAGAGATGAAGTGATGATGAGAGATAAAGTGATGAGAGATTAAGTGATGAGAGATTAAGTGATGAGAGATTAAGTGATGATGGGAGATAAAGTGATGATGAGAGATGAAGTGATGAGAGATGAAGTGATGAGAGATGAAGTGATGAGAGATTAAGTGATGAGAGATTAAGTGATGATGGGAGATGAAGTGATGAGAGATTAAGTGATGAGAGATTAAGTGATGAGAGATTAAGTGATGATGGGAGATGAAGTGATGAGAGATTAAGTGATGAGAGATTAAGTGATGAGAGATTAAGTGATGAGAGATTAAGTGATGATGGGAGATTAAGTGATGAGAGATTAAGTGATGAGAGATAAAGTGATGATGAGAGATGATGTGATGAGAGAAAGTGACAATGCGCAGCATCTCCATGCGGAGTGACATCACCTGTTCATGATTATTAATGACGGGGGGGGGGGCGGGTGGGGGGTGGTCGATGTGGAGTGACGTCACGCGCGTTACACACGAACATTCTCGGCTCATTATTATAGTAAAACATTTCCGCTGTGCCATCATCGCAATTGTCAACGTATTTAGAGGCCTATTCACGTTTTTCACTTCAGCTCATCCATTGCAAAGACAGGGCCTTTCGCGGGCCAAACAGCGTCACGGGCCAAAATGCGCCCTTCACTAGCACCCTCCGGAGGGAACGTATCCCCTCATCGCGAAAAACGAGAGACAGAGTGGCAGCGGTTGGGGGTCAGGGGGGAAGGAAACGTCTCGAGTATCAACGTCCGCCACTCACCGGGTTCCGGACTTGTCTCCCATGACGGGGGACGTTTGAAGCAGTGCCGCGTCACCTTTCCAAGCCTCCTGCGAACAACAACGACGACAACACGTCCGCGCCGATTAACTTCCGCGTGCCCATTAGCTCCCTGCGGTGGGGGTGGAGGGGTGTTGGTTGAAGGGGGTGGTGGTAGGGGGGAGGAAATGTTGGCTTAGGGAAAGCGCCGAGGTAGAAAGGGCCCGGGCTGCAGGTAATGCACGTTGAACTATGGAGGAGGCTCGTGAAGGACGCCGCTACCGGTCAGTTGGACGTTCCGAGATTTTTCGTTGCGACGTTCCGGCTGTGATGGGGAGCGGGGTGACGGTGGGAGTTTGTGGAGGTGGAATGATGCCGGTACGGCGGGGGTGTGGAGCTGCAGTGGACTTGTCAATGGACTGGTACCGGCGGTGACAAGATCGGGCCTCTCTGTGGAGGAGGAGGCTCGTGAAGGACGCCGCTACTGGGCCAGTTGGGGGCGGTCGCCCTCCGGCAACAGCGGAGGGCGGTGATGCGACGCTCACAACAACGAGCGGAGCCCCGGTGCGGCTAAAACGCAGCGAGTTGGCACAGTAGGGGGGGGGGGGGGGGGCACAGGTGGTGCATCTTGCAAGCCATCTCAGCCGGCCAACCCATGCAACCCGATGGGTCTGTCCCGTGATCTCCTGCCAGCAGCGAGCCTTCGACACTTCATGTTGCAGCCTCAAAGTGCAGCTGGCCTGGCAAAAGGCGCAGTGGTGACGTCACCGTCACATAGCGACGAATGGCGTGTATTGGTATTATTATTATTGTTGTTGTTGTATTGTTAAACATCATTCGCAGGGTACGTAGCCAACCGTGCTCATCAGAGGTGCGGCGGAAGGACAGCAAACGTAGCCAGCCGCGCACTTAGCGGGAAACGTAACGTCACTCAAACCTATTGCACAACGGCGATTCATCGTCCAAGGCGGGTATTCGACGTGTTCCTCAATAGTGCCGTGTAAAGCGAGGAATCACTCCGCACAACTTACGGGGTATTAGTCAGTTGCGACAAACGGATACATATATATTTTTTTGTATTTAAAGCTTTCTTGACTGCAGGGATTCATATTCTTGGTTCTTTCGGTAAAGTCACCACCACCACGTAGAAGGGAAACAATAAAAGAATACAAAAATAAAACAATAAAATTCTCACGACGTTTCGACTGCAACACGAGAAGCAATCATCGTCAGGTGTGAAAACCACAGCAAGAAAATTTGAAAAAAGTGGCGTTTATTTTAAACGTTAGCACCACGGAGAGCGATTTGGCAGTCATTCAGATGGACGAGTCCATCTATGTTCGGAAAAGAGGAGGGGGGAGACGAAAATAATGGATGCGGTCTGAAAGCCACCGTAAGCGTGAACAATCAATTAAGACCCGAAATGGTTTATCAAATCCTTCCAATGATTGCTGCTAAGCCAGAATCCATCTTCTCGGTTGCAATCGTCTCCGTGTTTGTGTATGTGGATAGCCTCCTGAACGAATCTTTCATGGTAGCCAGATGGCTACGTGACTTTACCGAAAGAACCAAGACTATACATTTTTTGTTTTACCAAGTAAGGCCCCACTGAGCTACGTAGCGCTTTTTCAGAAGTGACCACCCGGCCGCCACTGATAGGTCAACGAAGTGGCTTAGCATCATCACGTGAACATCTATAGCAGCAGCCAAATTACTCTAAAACGCGTGACGTTGACTCTAAATGCCGAGGGAAAAAAACCAGAGGACCCGGAGAAAAATCCACGCGACCGTGGGGAGAGGGAGACGCAAACTCCGAATTTACAGCAAGCGTCAGGGTCGGGATTGAACCCACGACCTCCCGTATACCAGGCGAGGTAGTTAACATCTCCTAGCCACTGTGATGATGATGATGATGCGAGAGAGACACGCAAACTCCAAATATACAGCAGCAGGCATCGTCAGGGTCGGGATCGAATTCCGCGACCTCCTGTATACCAGGCGAGGTAGTTAACATCTCCTAGCCACTGTGATGATGATGATGATGCGAGAGAGACACGCAAACTCCAAATATACAGCAGCAGGCATCGTCAGGGTCGGGATCGAATTCCGCGACCTCCTGTATACCAGGCGAAGTAGTTAACAGATCTCGCCACCGTGGCGCCCAGCAAAACCGATGCCAACTTAAACCGCGCCTTGGCACTGTGAAATCGGCCTGCGGTCATCTCATGGCGGGACAAGGAGCCTAGAGGTGACCACGTCGGCGCGTGAAGGATCACTCCGCGCGGACACCCCAGAGTTTCCACACCACTCAGAAACCGCGCGGACACCCCAGAGTTTCCACACCACTCAGAAACCGCGCGGACACCCCAGAGTTTCCACACCACTCAGAAACCGCGCAGTTCTAGAAAGAGGTCCGTCATCGGCCGCTCACAAAGCGCGTCGTGGCAACAGCGACGTTCCGCGTTATTTTCTCAGTGCAAGCAAAATCTATTGTCGTATCGCACTTCCATGCTCCCATGTCTACGCTCTCCCAAAACTCAGATCTGTACGAGTCTATGGGTCTCTGTGTGATGAGTCTATGGGTCTCTGTGTGATGAGTCTATGGGTCTCCGTGTGATGAGTCTGTGGGTCTCTGTGTGATGAGTCTATTGGTTTGCGTGATGAGTCTATTAGTCTGCGTGATGAGTCTATTAGTCTGCGTCATGAATCTATTAGTCTGCGTGATGAGTCTGTGGGTCCCTGTGCGATGAGTCTGTGGGTCTCTGTATGATAAGTCTATGGGTCTCTGTGTGATGAGTCTATGGGTCTCTGTGTGATGAGTCTATGGGTGTCTGCGTGATGAGTCTATGGGTCTCTGTGTGATGCGTCTATGGGTGTCTGCGTGATGAGTCTATGGGTCTCTGTGTGATGAGTCTATGGGTGTCTGCGTGATGAGTCTATGGTTCTCTGTGTGATGAGTCTATGGGTCTCTGTGTGATGAGTCTATGGGTGTCTGCGTGATGAGTCTATTAGTCTGCGCGATGAGTCTATTGGTCTGCGCGATGAGTCTATGGGTCTCTGTGTGATGAGTCTATGGGTCTCTGTGTGATGAGTCTATGGGTGTCTGCGTGATGAGTCTATCAGTCTGCGCGATGAGTCTATCGGTCTGCGCGATGAGTCTATTAGTCTGCGCGACGAAGTCTAGGGGGGTCTCTGTGCGAGCCACCGGTGACCCGGCTGATACCACCAACTGGACGCGCGAGACAACCCGGTGTGTAATCGCTGCGGGGTTGGGGAGGAAGGCCGACGTCCGACGCTGGTTAGCCCGGATCTCGGCGGTGCCGGCTTAGGCGCCTCTTACCTTTGCGCCACCTTTACCCAAGTCTCTTGGCGCGTGATGCCATCTCCACCATTCCTGGCCTGCCCCCCCCCGCCCTACATTTTGCAACAATCTACACTTTCTCCGTGAAGGATCAAGAGCATTTCCGCGAGTGCAGTAAAACCTTGGATGTTAACTGCCTCGCCTGTTTTGCAAGACGAGCTAAAAATTTTTTTTTTTTTAAATATTAATTTGATAAACCAGCGAGGGTCTTGCAACACGAGCAACGTAACGTGTAACACGCTTTGCCTCGCCGAGCGTCACGTGATCACAACTGATATGCGAGTGCTTCGATGTGCGAGTGCTTTGGATTACAAACACGTTTCCGGAACGAATTATGCTCGCGATCCCAAGGTTTTACTGACGACGATTCGCGATAATTTATGACCATTTGGTCTTCACGCTGGGAATTGACAAAAGAGGCCAGCACCTACCACCCAAACCACCTCCCCATGGCTGCGTCAGTCACGGCGGTCGGTTGACCATACTTCACCGCGCTCGGCAGCGCCGATTGGTGAAGCTCATCAACAATCATCATAAACTAAAACTAATACATAATGATACTCATATTTATTTTTCACGTCGCCAGGACAAGGCACCCCGCTGAGCAGTGTGGCTCCACCCTTCTGTGAGCAGCGACCCGGCCGTGAGCGGCAGCTCAACGAAGCGCCTCATCGCGCGGAAAATTTACGGCGGACGAATACTCTCTCTGAGCGACGTGACGTCGATTCTAAATGCGGAGGGGGGAAAAAAAAATATACGGAGGAACCCGGAGAAAAAAGTCAAGCGACCACCACGGGGAGAGAGAGAGAGACAGAGACACGCAAACTCAAAATATACAGCAGGCGTCGTCAGGGTCGGGATCGAACCCACAACCCCCTGTATACCAGGCGAGGTAGTTAACATTTCCTAGCCACCGTGATGATGATGAGAGAGAGAGACACGCAAACTCCAAATATAGAGCAGCAGCAGGCATCGTCAGGGTCGGGATCGAACCCACGACCTTCTGCACACCAGGCGAGGTAGTTAACATCTCCTAGCCACACACCAAGACACCACGGGCCGTCGCCTGCCCGACACGGCCTGCTTCAGTGACCCATCTTAACGCGTCAGCGCTGGCAAATGGGCAACAAAAGAGCTTTATAGCTCTTCGGATTCCACCTGCAGATTCTGACTCTAAAATACCCTCCTCGAAAAAGGAACATCTCTATCCAGCTAATTTACCTTGACACAAAGATCCCCCATGTGGCCTGAACAAGACTGTTGGGGACAAGTGCTGTTAGTGAGTAGCAGCACCTACGAAGGCTACCGGCACGGTGGCACACGAGGGGGGGGCGGGTGGCCAGCACCACGCCCGGCCGCCTTTGTCTCCCCAGTGGCGATGTTTGCCACGCGCCGCACCAGGTACTCGCTCGAGGCTGCGGCGAGCTAGCGGAGGCCCAGGGCGCGCACACATCACAGATCGCTACGATGTACGTGCAGTATAGAATTTACCTGGGACAGAGAGAACAAACGCAGAGATTCCCCCGCGCCGGGTTGAACAGAGCCTCCGCTGTGCGCCGAACTTCTTTCGCGCCGTACGTAGCTGTACTCTTTGGTTCTATTCGATGTAAAGCTGTGACCGCGCTACATCGGAGGTGCAGGTGGCGTTGGGTCAGAACCAACCACCGCAGCCCGGCCGCCTTTATCTCCCCCGGTGGTGATGATTTGTTTTTTTTTTGTTTGTCGTTTAAATGAGAACATTTCATTTTATCCTGGAGGAATCTGATGAGCTATGAATCCCTTGATCACTTTCACAGATTGCCCAGTGTAAGGCCGATTCGAACGACATAGTGGGGGTGGTGGGGGGGTGGAGAATAAGCGCAGGACCGCCTCAGATATTCGCCACTGATGTTAGCCGTGAGCGGGGGTGGAGGTGGGGGTTGGGGGGGGAGTAGACTTGGAACTCAAGAGAGGAAGGGAAAGGCGAGGAGGGTGTTCGGAGCGCAGTGCGCTAACCGCTGCACCACCGCTCCCCGCACCACCGTAAACCGAATCCTCTCCGCCCCGTGGCGACGCTGCCGCTTGCTTCCGCTGCTGGGCTGGCAGCGGCGCACAACGACGACGTTTCGGGCAATAGCCCTTCTTAATAGAATAAGCAAAAGGCCTAATTCTAGATTTGAAGCTTTCGTGACTGCAAGGATTCACACTCTTTGGTTTCTTCGGTAAAGTCACGCAGGTTAAAATAAAATAAACAACTCAATTAAATCGCGACGTTTCGGAGGCAACACAAGCTTCCTTCGTCAGGTGGAATAGACACAGCGGAATATCTGTTGATTGGCCGTGTCGGGTGGTGGAGAGGGTTACGACACATTTATAAATAACGCGATCTAACCCAAAAACCCTTATTATGAATAAAATTGGTCGCGAAAGCCTACGTGTTAAACAACAGACAACAACAACCGCCACTCGCCACTAAGTGGCGGTGACGTCACCACGACGCCTGTGCCAGGCCACGTGCACCTTGAGGCCATCGCGTGAAGTGTCGAACGCCCGCTGGCAGGAGGTCACGGGGCAGACCCAGGTGCCACGGGTCGACTGACTGAGATGACTGGCTGATGCACCACCTGTGCCCCCTACTGTGCCAACCCGCTGCGCTTTAGCCACCCGGCGCTCCGCTCGTTGTTCTGAGCGTCGCTCCTCCGCCCTCCGTTGTTGTTGGAGGGCGACTGCCTCCAACTGCCCAGCAGCAGCGTCCTTCACGAGCCTCCTCCTCCACAGAGGCCGATCTTGACACCGCTGGTACCGGTCATCGGCAAGTCCACTCAGCCTCCACGTCCTCCCGTACCACATCACTCCCATCTCTTCTCTAGCCCGTGCCGCGCCCGCTTAGCCCCCTCGATCCGGCCGAACAGAAGCTGTTTCGGCACGCGGTGGCTGGGCATGCGGCCTTACACGACCCAGCCATCGCAGCCTTGCCCGCCGGAGGAGCTCACCGATGGGACCTTGCCCAGATCTTTCAAGGATTTGTGAGCTCCTCACACACGCACGCACGCACACACGCACGCGCGTTGATGTATACGCAAATGTGCGCTGAACCATCATCCGTCAGCAGCCATGGTCAATCCACCGCTGGACTGAGGGGAGTGTGGTCACCAAATCGGGTTGCGCTGTACCGCAAAGACAAAGGTCCCCCGTGTAGCCTGCAACGAGAATCCATAATCTTTGGTTCTTTCGTTAAAGTCACGTCGGGAGAAAAAATAAAATTTTAAAAAAAATAAAGCAGTTCCACTGCTAGATTTTATTTTATTTTTTTTTCGCGCGCCTGAGGACGACCTCTTGTTGTGTTGCGATCGAAACGTCGTGATTTTTTGTTATTATATTGTTATTATAATTATATATTATTAAACTAAAACGTTTGGGGGGCGAGTAGCGAGCAGGGCCTATGAAGGTTACCGGGCGCTGTGGTTACACGAGAGGGGGGGGGGGGGGTGTGGGTGGCCAGCAACCACGCCCGGCCGCCTTTGTCTCTCCCCCGGTGGCGACGTTTACCACACACCGCAGCACCGGGTACACATTTGAGGCCAAGTCGACCTACGGGAGGCCCAGCGCGCAGCGCTAACCGCTGCACCACCGCTCCCCCGCTCCCCCACACACACAACACAACACTTGATAAAACGTCAAGTTAGCGCGCCAATCGCGACGTTAAACGAACAGTGGAAAACACAGCTCGGTTACATACATTTTTTTTAAAGGCATTTTTGTTTTAAAAAATGTTTGATTAAAATTTACTAAAAAAAAAAATGTGTTTTATTTACCTCACGATACGTTAGGGGACGCCCGACCACCAGCACCACCACCACCGCTCTACGAAGCGATTCTATAAAGACGCACGCGCGCGCGCACACAAACACACACACACACAACCCCCTATTTCGTTTCCTTGTCGCACTATATATATTTTTTGGGGGGTTAAGCAAATAAAAAAAATACAAATTTCTGGCGGGGGAGGGTGGTGGCGTTTGCTTTTGCTGTGTTGTTGTGTGTCGCTTAACTACATTCGCCACAAACGTACGTCAATGCGAGAAAGATGGAGCTTTTTAGATTCCGTGCAGCGGATAGGTATAGCAGTGGGGGGGTGGGGGGGGGGATGGAGGTCCGTGATTGGCTCTGCTCGGTCACGCGGGGCGGGAGGGTTTGGGGGGGCGGCGGTTTAGGGTGATGGTGGGCGAGATGTGGGGGTGGGTGGCGGGCTTTACGGATCTGTGCTGTGAAATCGAAACGGGTTGCTCCGCCCACCTTCTTTCTTATTGGTTCGACCCATCTAAGCCACCCCCACTTTTTTCTCTATTGGTTCCACCCATCTAACTCCCCCCCCACACACACACACACGCATCCACCTCCTTTCCTATTGGTTCCGCTCATCTAACCCACCCCCATCTCTTTCCCTATTGGTTACGCTCATTCAACCCACCCCCACCTCCTTCCCTATTGATTCCGCCAATCTAAACCACCCCTGCCGCTTTCCCAATTGGTTTCCTCCCATCTACCCCCCCCCCACCTGTTTACCTAATGGTTCCGCTCATCGAACCCACCCCAATCTCTTTCCCTATTGGTTTCCTCCCATCTAACCCATCCCTACCTCTTTCCCTATTGGTTTCCTCCCATCTAACCCATCCATACCTCTTTCCCTATTGGTTACGTCCATCTAACCCCCCCCCAACCTCTTTCCCTATTGGTTCCGCCCATCTAACACCCCCCCCCACACCTCAACCCCTTTCCCTATTGGTTCTGCCCGTCTAACCCCCACTTATTCTTGGTTCTTTCGGTAAAGTCACGCAGAAGGGAAACAATAAAATAATAAAATATATAAACCAATAAAATTATCACGACGTTTCGACTGCAACACAAGCAATCATCATCAGGTGTGAAAACCACAGCAAGAAAATTTGAAAAAGTGGCGGGTTTTTTTTTACGTTAGCACCACGGAGAGCGATTTGGAAAGTTATTCAGATGGACGAGTCCATTTATGTTCGGAAAATAGAAGGGGGGAGACGAAAATAATGGATGCGGTCTGAAAGCCACCGTAAGCGTGAACAATCAATTAAGACCCGAAATGGTTGATCAAATCCGTCCAATGATTGCTAAGCCAGAATCCATCTTCTTGGTTGAAATTGTCTCTGTGTTTGTATATGTGGATAGCCTCATGAACAAATCTCTCATGGTAGCCAGATGGCTTGCAAAGGACCTTTGTCTTGGAGAAGTCAATGTCATGTGAGCCTACTGAATTATACCAGTGATCTGCCACGGCCGAGGTGTTGGTCCTACCGTGTTTTAGGTCTGCTTTGTGTTCACGAATGCGGTCCGAGACATGGCGTTTGGTGTCTCCAATGTAACGACTACCACAGAGGCAACTTAGTTTGTAGACGCCAGGGTACTGTACGTCCGGAATCACATCTTTCACAGACGGAACCAGATCACGGATTTCATGTAATGTGTTGAATCGGACCAATATGAATCACTGCAGTCACGAAAGCTTTAAAGCGAAGCTTCATCATCATCGACAGGTCGCTCCCCATCGCCCGCTTCACCGCCTGAGCTCCTCCGCTTCCTGTCGTACGTAGTAGGAAGCGCCAAACCTCCCATAAACTGCGCATGCGAGGGATCTAGAGATAACCCCTGGTAGCCAGAATGAGTTTAAAACAACAACAAAAAAACGTCGGTGGAGAGCTTCTTTGAAAAGGGGGGAAGGGGGGGAAAGACTCAATGATGAACCCGCCCCCGCCCCCCACCCCCCGGTCCGTGAAAAAATTGTCACGAAACCGCCTGGTGCCAAAAAGGTTTGGGGACCGCTGCAGAAGACGATCTATCTCTGAAAAAGAGCTTTATAGCTCATCGGATTGTTGTGATTTCTGCCCCCGTTATGTAGGGGGATCATAGCAGCAGCTGGGGGTGGATTGTTTGGTCGCGCGGCAGGGTCGTGAGAGGTGGTTGATGGCCGGTGTGAAGGACCTTCATCCAGCAGTGGATAGACCCTGGGTGATGATGGAGGCTTGGGGGGGAGGTCTTCAACCGGCAGTGGATAGACCCTGGGTGAACCACCACCACGGATCCACCACCACCACGCATCAACCACCACCACGCATCCACCACCACCACCACCACCACGCAACCACCACCACCACCACCACGCATCCACCACCACGCATCCACCACCACCACGCAACCACCACCACCACGCAACAACCACCACCACACGGATGTCTGATTAACTGGAACCATCACCACCACCACGCAACAGCCACCACTACCACCACCACCACTACCACCACCACCACGCATCAACCACCACTACCACCACCACGCCTCAACCACCACCACCACGCATCCACCACCCCCACGCATCCACCACCACCACCACGCCTCAACCACCACTACCACCACCACGCCTCAACCACCACCACCACCACGCATCCACCACCACCACGCAACCACCACTACCACCACGCATCCACCACCACCACCACCATGCATCCACCACCACCACGTCTGAACCACCACCACCACCACGCATCAACCACCACCACCACACGGATGTCTGATTAACTGGAGCCAAAGCAGCCAATGCTGGCTTCACTGCCTGTGGCCACGTGGTGTTTGGGAAACAGCTGTTGCCAATAAACACTGGGCAGTTGACCGGCGTTGGTTCAAGCTGGGCCTGACTCACCCTGCTGATGAGACACTGCATGTCAAAACCGGTCCTTCAATATAAACATCTGGGCAGTTGACCAGCGTTGGTTCAAGCCGGGCCTGACTCACCCTGCTGATGAGACACTGCATGTCAAAACCGGTCCTTCAATATAAACATCTGGGCAGTTGACCAGCGTTGGTTCAAGCCGGGCCTGACTCACCCTGCTGATGAGACACTGCATGTCAAAACCGGTCCTTCAATATAAACATCTGAGTAGTTGACCAGCGTTGGTTCAAGCCGGGCCTGACTCACCCTGCTGATGAGACACTGCATGTCAAAACCCGTCCTTCAATATAAACATCTGGGTAGTTGACCAGCGTTGGTTCAAGCCGGGCCTGACTCACCCTGCTGATGAGACACTGCATGTCAAAACCCGTCCTTCAATATAAACATCTGGGTAGTTGACCAGCGTTGGTTCAAGCCGGGCCTGACTCACCCTGCTGATGAGACACTGCATGTCAAAACCGGTCCTTCAATATGAACATCTGGGTAGTTGACCAGCGTTGGTTCAAGCAGAGCCTGACTCACCCTGCTGATGAGACACCGCATGTCAAAACCGGCTCTTGCCTATAAACTTCTGGGGCAGTTCCACCAGCGTTGAATCAAGCAGAACCTGGCTCTGCTGCTGATGAGCCACTGGAATGCGGAAACCATCCCAGAGTGTTTTTTTTTCCGTGTGTTGTCACCAATGCTGCCCGAAAAGGATGACTCCCAAGAGGAACGCCGTGCGGCTGATGGGATGTGTAAAGTGAAGAAAACAAAGATAATTCTTTAATTTTTACGTGGAGGGAAAGATGTAAGGAGGGAGATGAATTGTCTGGTTATTTGTATCGTCAAAGAGTCCGACAGAGGGATACTGACGGAGTCAGTCAGACAGACAGATTGATAGACAGATTTAAAGTCACGCGTGTAGAAATACAATAAAATTAATGTCTTGTTTTAACGTAATTTTATTGTATTTCTACATACGTTACTTTTACCCGAAAAAAAATCAATGAGTAATTTTATGCAGTCACGAAAAGCTTTTAATTACCTTGTCAACACACTTGTACGGGGGAAGTTACCGTTGCATTTCTGTCCTAAATGTGCACCCCAAATATGTTCCCACCCCCCGCCGCTTTTGTGTATACGCAAGATTTTCTGTTTTTGAGCTAACGTAAGATGAGCTACCACTCTCTTTCTGGCCCCTCTCTACCCCCCCAACCTTATTTCATATTTAAGCTTCTGTTCATCCCTCTCTCTCTCCTTGCCATCTCTGTCCGTCTTTCCTACTGACACCGTGCACCTCGTATTTTCACTCTGTCTATGCTGGGTTTTTTTTTGAAATCCAGAAGTTGAACGCGAAAGTTAACACTCTTCTGAAATCCGTGGTCCGCCAGGAAGTGTCTAACTGCGTCGTTGGCCTGACCGGTTGTGGCTTCACGTAAATGTTTTTTTCCAGGTTTGTTGTTGAATTCTCGCCTCTCATCTTTTTTTGCGTTGTTATTTACCTCCGTGATTTGTTCCTGACACCTGGTGAAGATCGCTTGCGTTGTGATCGAAACGTCGCGATTGTGTTTTTTTTGTTTTAATGTAATAATTTTATTTGTATTTCTACATACGTGGACTTTACCGGGGGGAAAAAAACAATGAGTGGAGCACGTTTCTTTGCATGTTGTTAACCAAAAAGCACCGTGGTGTGCTCAACGCGTTCCTTGGTGATGCCTCGGTGTTTGAACATCTTAACCACCTCCTGTGTTTCTTTTGTATCGCCGGAGAAGGTTTAGACAACTAAAATCTGTGATCCCCATCAACCCGGAATCCCTGCAATCTGCGCGTGCCCATCATTTATACCCCCAAGCACTACGTGTCGGTCTAAATCGTTCTGATTTTGCACCCCGTCGGGTATTCGCGCGCGTGTCTGTGTGTGTCTGTGTGTGTGTCTCTGTGTATGTGTGTCTGTGTGTGTCTGCGTGGTGACGTCACCGCCACTTAGTGGCGAATGGCGGTTGTTGTTGTCTGCGTGTGTGTCTCTGTGTGTGTCTGTGTGTGTGTGTCTGTGTGTGTCTGTGTGTCTGTGTGTGTGTGTCTCTGTGTGTGTGTGTCTCTGTGTGTGTGTGTCTCTGTGTGTGTGTCTCTGGTGGGGAGCGGTAGTGTAGCGGTTAGCGCGCTGCGCTATGAACCTGGCGACCCGGGTTCGATTCCCGCTCACGGCCAACACCAGTGACGACGATTATCTGAACCGGTCCCGGGCCTCCCCTAGGTCGACTCAGCCTCAAATGAGTACCTGGTGCGGTGTGTAAACATTGCCACTAGGGAGACAAAGGCGGTCGGGCGTGGTGCTGGCCACCCACCCCCTCGTGTACCGTTCCGGCCTTCATAGGTGCTC